TCCTTTCAGTGTTTATCAAAAAATGTATCAGATCATTTTGTGGGCCACCTTGGTCAGAAATTTCGCGGGACCAAATTGTAATTGTCTGGTTATCACAATTGGGGTACCTCCACAGCGGGAGGGTACAGCGAAGCAAAAGTGATGTGAAAAACTTCAGCATTATTAGGAAACATTCGAGGGCCACACCAAGTATTGGAAAAACCAAACACCAAGTTGGTATACTACTCCGCACGTTGGCATGTTTATGAAGTTGATGATACGGGCATCGGTGACAACAAATAGGCATAAAATCATGGTGACATGGACGGTCATTGCGCTGCACAACTGATAAGATACAATCATAAAATAACCCAGAGACTGCTAGGACAGCCACAGTTTTTCCAGCTTGATTGCGGTCCTATTGTACAGAAAAGTTGTATGCTAATGCGTGTTATTTTCCATATGTAAATTGACATTCTACCTGTAATGTAATTTTATTGAAATATATACTTCTGACGTGATCTGAACAGGAGAGAATTGATATTTATAGCACTCCATTCAAATTCCATTCAAGCTATGTTACAGTACCATCTGTCACTGTTGACATTTTTTGAAGAACAACACGATCAGCGAGTGAGTTCTTAGGGTAGATACGTGAAAGTGATGTGAGTAGACACGTCTAGCTACGTCATTTTCGAAATGTGTGCGAGAGGTCCTTTTTTCCATCACCGGCCGAACCAACCTACAGGTTTTATCCAACATGCTTGTCATAAACCTAGATTGTCTGTTTCGCCTCTGCCGTTAGTTGCACCGGCTGCATGTCCTGCGGCCCGAAAACAACATTTTCAGTGAAAGTTGGCCATAGCCAATATGCTGCCTTGGTAGAGGAGTGAAAACAATTCCTAGTCATTTGATACATCCCAATAAATAAATGGTTAGGCTTATATTCAGGCTAGCTCAACTCCGAGCTCAAGCTCATGGTCAGAGTTTGAAGCTCGCCTGAAGCTGAGACGGGCAAATGTGTTGCTACCCGTAACAGGTACGGTCACAAGACGCTATGTAGCCGAGAGCATCGTATTATACTGCAGAGAAACGCAAAAATCAGAAATGACATAACTTAAATGAAATTGAAATGAAAAATTATCAATAACAATTATCTCATCTTCAGATCATACCAAAATTATATCTACTGTAATAAATTTACAATGTATGCAGATTATCATTCTACATATGGAAAATAACATAAATTAGCAGCTAAATTTTCTACATAATGAGACTGAAGGCGAGTTGAAAACATAGTGGTTTTCCCAGCAGTGTCTGGGTTGTTTTGTGATTGTATTGTCTCAGGTGTGCGGCGAAATGATCGCCCGGCTCATCACGAATTTATGCCTTTTCGCTGTCGTCACTGCCGAATACCTGAGATTCTTCAATATGCCGATGTACTATGTGGTATGTCAACTTGGTATTTGGTTTTTGCCAATATTTGGTGTAGCCCTCGAACGTTCCC